TGTTTAACCAAAAAATAGAATTTCAGTTAAAACTAGAAATTAAGAGAAAAAATCGGGTACTGATAATCAGGAGACGAAAAGAATAAAGAATTTAGGAGAATAATAAAGCAGTAAATAAGTTTGTATTTCAATGTAATCTTAATGATATTTCGTGTCCTACAGATGTTGTGACTTTCTCCTTTTATAGTTAATTCTAAGAGAAAGTGTAATGCCTTTGTCTTAATGAGGCAATTATGAGCAATAAATGACATTAAAAGAAACGTTACTCAATCATTCTTGTTAAATACAAATTCTCTAACATATTTGGCATTTAATGTTGAATTTGGACTCTTTTACGCTATCAGATTCATGTCTTCAATTCCTTCTGATCTTCGAGCTTTAAATGACTCGAACAGGTACGAGTCTCGTTTCATCTGAATAATAGCTCGTGCCTTTAAAATATCTTCTCTCCCGCATCTGTTGTTGCTCGTGCCTTCTAACTGATTACCATGCTTTGACTATTTGACCGGCCCACGTGTCATGACACGTCATCTTCAATATTTAAATTCAGTTTTTTCCCAATACAGATAGTCCCCCCACTTTCCATTTATTTATCAATTAAATATTTGGGAAGTGGATCTTCATTAAAAAGGAATTTTTGCCATAATCAATGCTATGACAATACTAACGCTTCAGTTGTCTCTTCTATTTAATGCACCGTATACGTGTCGTCTTCTCATTAGTTATGCGATTTTGCAGCCTTTTTCTAAGGCTTTTTTTTATAACTCCAAAATTCACGAAGTGATAGTTGCCTTTATTATAGGCTTTCCATCATTACACTTTTTAATTACCGCCGGTTGAGTTTATATATAAACTTGCCCCCTTTTTCTTTTGTATTCTTCCTCACAAGCTTTTTACCAAATTTCTTGCTATTAACTCTTGTTCACTTCTTCTTCAATTCATACCCTCTCACTATGTCGTCTTCGAATCCTAACCCTAAAAGAGTCCCAATTCTTGATAGTTTTCCCAATGCTCCTGCTAGATATAGAAGAGGTAGAGAAGGTGTGCTTCGTGGTACAGGGTCGGTTCGTGGTGGTACCTCTGGTTCCATCATTCCTTCTTCTAGTTCCGGCAATATCTCTAGAGGCTCTCTTTCTAACAAGTCTTCTTCTAAAGGCAAAGAAACTTCTGAGTCTAACCAAGAGCCTCTGGTTGAAGAAATTGTGCCAACGGATTTATCCTTCGAACATGACAAAGAATCCCTTCGTGACCAAGTGATTAAATTAGAGAGAGCTGATAAATATCCCTCTTTAATTACTGAACCTTTAATTCAGATTGTTCGAAGAGATTGCCGTTGGAGAGGTGACACCCAAATAGTTATTCCTACTCCACACCAAAGAATATCTTCTTATAGGGTTGGTTTTTCTTTCGTTTACACTTATCCCTTTACTTTGGGATTTATTCCTGCTATTGACCCTGTCATTCTTGACTTCTGTCGTTTTTTCAAAATTTGTCTGGCTCAAGTTGGTCCTCTCGTATGGAGAGCAGTAGCTCGTTTGAGGTATATGTCAACCAAAGCTACTGTTGACTTTACTTTTCCTCATTTAATTCATCTTTATCACCCCCAAACTATTCCGCAATGGTGTTTTTACCTTAACTGCAAGAAGTAAGAGGGTTTTGGTTAACCCTGAAGATAACAATGACCGTGGCTGGTACACCTGTTGCTGTTCCCACAATTGATTTGGTGGGTGAATCAAACATTCCTTTTCCTGAGAAATGGAACTTTGCACGTAAGTTTTTTCTTCCTTACCGTATCTGCTTTCGTTATTTCAACTTCTCTTCTAATTTTTTTTGAACCATGGGAGATGTGGAACCCGTTCCTAATTTCCGTGGTTGGGTAGATGCTGTCTTGAAAGTCGTGCCTATGAAGGCACGAACTTGGAAATCTATTTCCAACAAACATGGTTGGAAAGTGAAAACTCACGGTATACATCCCTTTTTTGCTTCTCGTGTGTTAACTTCTTTTCCCCTCTTTTAACTTTTTATCCTTCTTATTGTCAGGATTTGCTGTTCGAGGGATGTCGGCTGAAGTAGCTATCACCCTTCGAGCTTCTTCCAATACCCCTCTTGCTTTGGAAAGAACACAAGCTACGCTGTCAAAGAGAAAAGTGGTTGAAGAGGATTCTGACGTTGATGAAGATGAAGATGAAGATACCTCTTTGACAGCTCGTCCTAAAACCAGGAGACGCATTGTTTCTGAGGATGAAACTGAAGTCTCTCCCGCTCGTGTCTCTGAACCTGTTACTATTACCTCCGATGAAGAAACTATTCCACGGGACTCCCCTGAATCCACTCGTCGCCTCTTTATTGAGGGCTTCGAAAGTGGTGAATTAGGTCCGGTTTTAGATGAAATCCCTCTTTCATCTTCCGTTCCTGTTCTTTCCGTTCCTCCTCCTTTAATTTCAAGTGTTTCCTTACCTACTTTGTCTATTTCTGCTCCCTTACCTGCCTCAACTCCTTCGACTACTACTATTTTCACCTCTTCTACCGTTCCTCCTTCAATAGTTCCCTCTTCCTCTGCTCATTATGCAGAAGAGGGTTCTAGTAGCAGAAGCATGGCTATGAGGAGTGTAACACTTGAGGTTCCTGCTAATAGCAATCTTTTAAGGAAGTCTGGCAGAGCAGATGTTTGGCTTGAACCCTTAATTAGGGATATTGAGAAAAAGAAAATGGACAGTCACAGTTGCCTGACTCTGATGAACGACATAGTTCATGCCACTTTGAAGGTATGACCCTTCTTTCTTTACTTTTACCAGAATTTTTCCTGAATTCTAATTTTTCTTTCCTTATCGTTTTCAGGCCAACCTTATCGGTACAGAGTTGATGAACAGAATTTCCTTACTAGAGAAGGTGGCACGTGACTCTGAAAAGGCTGTTCTTGATTCAGAGAAGGAAGCTCGTGACTCTCAGTTGGAAGCAGCTAACTGGAAGAGCCAATTTGATAGTGCCCAAATAACAATAGAGGATTTACAAGAGAGTAAGAATAACCTGGAACAGCAGGTGAGGGCATTAACTTCAGAGCTTGCGATTGTAAAAGCTTCTTCGAGTCAAACTGAGAAAGAAAGAGAGTGTCTCGAGTCTTCTTTTTCAGAACAGTTATCTAAATCAAGTGAAGAAATCAGAGAGCTGAAGGTATTATTGAGCAAGAAAGAGGAGTACGCGGGAGAGCTAGTTCAAAACTTGTCTCAGGCTCAGGCTGACTTGCAAATTTTCTCTGATAAGGTTCGTGCCTTAGAGAATTCTCGTGCTTCCCTTAAAGCTACCCTTGATTCCACTTTTGCTGAAAATCAAATGTTAAAAAATGATCTTGCCTCGTGGGAAAAGGATCATGAGCTTCTTGAGGAGACTTTTAACACAGAGGTGAGCTGGGCCTTTTTAAACTCCCCCCGTGATGCCTTAACTGAAGCCAGTCAAGAAAACTTTGATTTAGAATCAGAATTGGCTAAAGTTTTGAAAACCATTGCAATGACTCAACAACCCCTTGACTTTCCTTCACCAGTAGATGAAACTCCCGTGGCTGAGGAACCTTTAAATGAAGGAGCCGCTTCTGTTGAAGTTGAAAATGTTACAATTCCAGCTCCCGAGGGTGAAACTTCACTGATACAATCCGTGGAAGATGAAGTACCCGTGACTCTTGCTTCCCTCGGTGACTTTAAAACTTCAAGCCCAACTGCCTCTACTTCCTCAGAAATTGCTATCGTGCCTACAGCTGCTTCTGAAAGTGAGATCGACATTGCAACTTCAGAAGTTCCAGCCCCTTCAGTGACAAGTTGAATATTTTACTCCTTTGTTTCCCTTTTTTTTTTATTAATTGGTGGTTTTATCCCTTGACCTTTTTAAGGGATTTTTGGTTAAGTCCCAATTATCATAATGGGGCACTTTGTAAAAACATTTGACTAAGTTTTACTTAGTCTTTTTTAAGAAGTTTTCTTGGTACTTCAATATATTCTATTCTTGCCTTTTTCTTATCTATTTAGGACTTATAGAATAGTTTAGCAATTTTATCCTTTGAAATTGCTTTATGATTCTTCTCATGAGTTATTAACATGAGGTTTATAAAAGAGGGCCCTTTTATATATATATCGACACTTAATGAAGAAGACGTCTCAACTTCATAATGGTGTTATAATACGATGAAAGAAATAGGAATACACATGTTTTGTATGCTACAACTTTGACAAGTTTTTATTCATGAACTTGAACAAACTTTTGAGTATTACATGTATTAAAGTACATCTATAACTTCCTCACAACTGTTTTTCTTGTAACAGATTTATATAAAAGAAGAACAATAAATACTAGGTTTTTCTTTATAACCCGTTTTAGTACATAGTCTTGACCCCATCTTCA